AGAATGATTTTCATGCCTTTGATTCACACAGATAAAACAAGCCACTTAAATGGTCTTCAGAGGGAAAGAAGGAACAAACCAGGAGTTGAAAAAAAAACACATTTAGTAGGTGAGCATGATTTACAAATTACTGCTGTGAAGGGGTTCACAGGGGTTCACAGGGCAGAGCTTTCTGCGGGCTGTCCAGGTTTATTTTAATGCATCAACCTAATCAACATCTCCAGGACCTGTAACTCACAAATAATAGCAAAAAGATGCCTGAGAAGGCTGCACTCTCCTGGCTCGCTCACCCCTCTCCTCATAGACATATGGTGGATTGGGTTCAGATCCTCAGATAACTGGAGAGAGGAATATATAAATAATCAGCTCCTGATGGCTATCTGAAAAAGTCCCATCTTTAAAATATGTTCCAGGGTCTTCTAACAAAATCACCCATAAAGATACACCAAAGACTCTCTGCTTGCCATATAATACCACCTCCTCCTTTCCTCAGCTGAAAGAACATATTTTTATCTCTGTCTCTAGCTCCAAAAACTATTTTCTCCAATGACTTCTCCAGTGAGCGCACTCAGGGTACCTCAGGAAATGCATCCAATATCTGCTTTAGTAATCCATACAGCATTTCATTCTCCTATAGCATTCACTGTGGTAGTTCTGTTCCAAAGATTTCATAAAAGAGGTGCATATAAACTGAAAAGGCTTTTTTTAACAAATCAAGTTAATAAAAATAATCTGCCTGGAAGATTGCTAACATGTATTTTTGAAACAGAGAAGCAAAGAGAAAAACGCAAGATTAGAGAAATGGTCAAGAGGAACCTGAGGAAAGACAGGACAGAGACAAATCACTGAAAATGAAGAGCTGAAGATGCAGGGGAACTCTGGAGGTCATCTAGTGCATCACCCTACTCAAAGCACAGTCAAGTACCACAGATTCCTTAGGACTGTGCCCAGTCCTCTTCTGAAAATCTCCTGGGATGGTCACTCCACAATCTCTCCAGGCACCTTCTGCCAGTGTTCATCCACTCTAACACTGGAAAAGATTCTCCTCATGCATAAGTGCAGTCTTCCATATTTCAGTTTACACCTGTCATCTCTTGTACTTTTACACAGAACTGATACACAGAGTCAGTCTCTTCTTCAGCCTGAACAAGGAAGAGCATGGTCATCCTAGATGCAAACACCTGATCATAAAGATTTTTTTATTCCCTTCTCTGAGGCTGACTCGATTCCAAATGCTCAATAATACCATGATTATCCTGGTGAGAGTTGACAGGTAAAGATCCAAATACAAGCAATTCCTGAGAAAGTAAAAACTGTTAAAATATAATATTGTTAGAATAACAGTTTGATTCAATTGCATATGTCTCATAAGACACTGCAGTACTTCTTGAAAATCAACACTTTAGGAACTCTTTATCAAGAAAAACTGCAAGTATGTTTCTTCCTAAAGAAACACAGATACACTTTCAATTATCCAAGTTAATAAGGGAAGTACAAGAAATTTTCTCCCATACCAAAAAAAGCACTTGGAGTTTCCAAGGACAGCAGTCTCAGGGTGTGCCACCACAGGCCAGGACAAGAAGAAAGTAGAACAAGACCCATGATTTTGTATCAAGTTCCCCATGAGTTACTGGAAAGTACATTTCCTCAGAAAGTGCTGGAGTAGAACACACCTTAAACATCAGCCCTCTGTTTGATCTGACACTTTGATATTCTTCCTGCCAAGAACTGCAGCAGAACATCTCTGTTTCTTTTTGCAAGTTCAGCTGGAGTGGCTGCTTTTGATGTACACAGCATTGCCACAGATGAGGACTAAAGGCCACAGAGTAATTTACAGTGTTACAAAGTTAGAGAGATCAGTAGCTAAGGTACACCAAAGAAATTCCCAAGTAAACAAAGCTGAAATGAGTGTATTGGTAACTTCCATAGCTGAGTTTATCTAAGAGAGGCAAGTGAATGTGGAAAGTATCCATTGTATGATTATGGTGTAAGAGAATTCACTAATTCCCCCAAAAGACAGATTTTTCATCAGAGGCATAAAGAAAAATCTTGTTTGAGACACTGGATCTCTGTCTCTACTCTTTATTTAGAGGATTAAAGACCTAAAAACTCATTTTTCTCCTCTCAGGAGGTATACTGGACTGTGGAGTTCTCCAGAATGGAAAACAAACAGCCTCTCCTAAAATGCATTTGTATCTCCTTCCAGCTACAGAGCTGGATGAAAGCCCAAAGAAGCAAAATCCTAAAGTGGGGAAAAGCTCTGATATTATATAAAATAGAAGAACAGAGTTCTCTGGAAAGCTTTTAAATGCTGTCTTTGACTTCTTAACAACATAATTTTTCAAGTGTTCCAAAGAGCTATCCATTTTCTATTGACTCCATCAGAAAACAGTATTTTGTTTTGTTAGTTTTGTTCTTGTTGTGTTATGTCAACATGACACCCTGGCACCTGATGCTGACCTTAATGGATTCTTGACAAAGGACCCAGTACTGCAACTTAAAACACTGTCAATTGGTGCTTAAATGAAAATAAAAACAACAGATTTACAAAAAACAGTGTATTTTAGCTTACACAATATTTAATGGTGTTTCCTTTACCAATTCTTCATGCTTTGCTGAGCAGAATAAAGAGTAGTTCTAAAGCAACAGATTTTGAAAAAACACTTGGAATCGTTAAACACAGGGTTGTGCTGCTTTTGGTACCAAAAGCATTAAAGATGCTTACTTAGAAACTAGGAAGCAGCTATTACTTTAGAAAAGCATTTCTCCTTATTCAGTAGTCAATATAATTTTTATATTACCTAACATGGAATCTACTCAATCCCAAATTGTCAAATGCATTGGCAGGAGGCTCAAGCAGCTCTGATGAATACTGGAAGGTAGTAATAATGTGATTGTATCCAGCCAAGTTTGGTTTCATATGAAAGGCTTTTCTTGAACCATGCATACACTTTTTTTCTACAGCACAGGACTGAAATAGAATGAGACCTGAACAATGCCAAATGTATTTTTTTCAGTTGGAAGTCTTTCAACTTTCCCTGAAAAGACAGGGCAAGGGACTAGATGGCCAATAGGACTGATTGAGGATGGCAATTCCTCTGTCCTTATACTCTTCAAAGTATTACAGAAAGTATTCAGAATTTACAGTCCTATTTTAGGACAAGATTTAAATTGGATAAGGAAAAGTACCTGGAATCTTTATTTCAGCATTGAAATGATTCACAGGTTAGGCTCCTTAACACAGGCTAGATGTACATCAACAACCAGGAAGCAAATTATGATCAAAAACATTATGGCCTTTCTTCCAAGTAGGCAATTTTGTGTCCTTATAATTTAGATCTGCAAGTCTTTTGCTGAATAATACTATTGTAAAAAAGGCACATTGTAAAACTGAAAGGTTTCTCTCCATTTCCAAGTTTTGAGTAGATTCCTATTAACATTTTATGACAGTGCATTGTGAACAGTTGCAGTAATTTTGTTCATAGTTAAACTCCAAGTTTCTTGCTGATACTGCTTATCCAGTATACTAGAATACTAAGTTCTTAGTTTAAAAATAAAAAATAATACCAATAATAAGTTTCCTTATGCTTCCATAGTGCCACAGAAGCATGTTTCAAACAGGTAAGGGAAAGCCACTTCTCCTATATCCTCTGTAAAGAGCAGTAACATTTTATTATTCTACTGCATCCCAACTTTCTGTCAAACCCCTAAAAAACAGTGGGCTGAGAATTCATATTCTTTTTAAAAGACCCATAAAAAGTACTGGTTAAAGTTCCTCTTGTGACACAATGGTAACTCTGGTACACAGAACCACTGAATTACAAGAAAATGAACCAGACTCCAATCTGAAACCCACTCAAGTCAAGAGGAGAGAGTCCATGAACTGTCCTCTTTTTAGATAACAGAATTTCAGCATGAAATAATTTCTCTATGTTTTATAATAAATAACCACAATGGCAAAAGGTAAAGAATTTTTAAGACTGTACACCATGCTAAATATGTGCTATCCTTTCCATTCAGCACTCCTTCAATTTTCTCCCTCAACCTATAGAGACCTTCCAAAAAAGAAAGGTGTTGCTGTCTACTATCTTATTTTTTGCTACAGTTTTTTTATGACAATGAAAATGATAGTTATGAATTTATAATGAGAGATCTCAACTAAAACACGATTAAAAAAATATAATTTTCATAAAATCAAATGCAATCAAATTTTATCAATTGTCTTACAGGACAACTTCTAGCATTACATAAATTAAAAGTATAAACTGGACAGTGTAACAGTATAAAGTGGACAGTGGGGGAGAGGAGGGCTTTTCAGATAAACATGAATTAATATCAGTCAGAACTTTATATTATGGTAGATAGCCAGCATGGTATTTGGGTCACCTAAGTCTTCTTTGCCATTTTCTTCTCTTGTTTCCCCTCTTTGTTTTACATTTTACTTTAAATATATTTCTTATTAATCTAAATATGCTTTGATTGATAATATGTTTACCACAACTAGCTTACAGACTGCCTCATATATTAGTTGACAGAGGCCATAAGATCCATAAACTGATTATTCAATCGCTTCATTGTTGATAAATATTAAAGGCTTCTAAATATCTGCTAATGACAAATTCATTGTTTGTTAATCCCACGCTATTTTATTATTAAGTTTAATGCAAGCTAACAATGGTAGTTTGTCAAAGGAAAATGAACCCTTTGAGTCAGGCTGTATCACTTTAAACATTAAAAACTATTCAGATGCTTCATGTACTTTTGAAAATGAAGGATTCCAGTGATGTCAATGGACTTACAATAGTATGGTAACTAGTGTAAGAGAGAACAGAAATAGAACCTTGGGTTTTGTAGTATTATACTAACTTACAGATTTTTTTTATAATTACACTGCAGTGCTACTATGTATTTACACAGAAATACTACTACTAATTTGAAAAACTATGAAGAAGTGGAGTGACCTTATAATATTAACAGGACAAAAGAATTGTTTTATTTACCTGACTTTGCAATTCACTTTGTTGCTTCAGGCGAAGATTTTCTGGTGTATCAGCCACTGTAGTGAAGGACTGCTTTGGGTAATGTCTAAAAGAAAAAGAAGCACAAAGCCAAACAGTAAATATTTGCAAAGGCTAGAAAGTCAAATGCATCCCAGCACTCCTTCCTGCAGTGCACAGAATTATTTCATCTTTTGGTATGAATTAGAAGTATTTAAAAATATTCTTCAGACATGCCTTACAGAAACAACACAAAGAGTTCCTGTGAGTCTAAATCCCACCCACTCATTGTGCCCACTGACTTCAAAGACCAATCGGCCAAAATTTGCTTTCAATACAGTGATCAAAACTATATTTAACTCCACTGTCTTGGTATAGCCATGTGCTGGACAATGACTAAACTAAAAGCCCTTAAAATGAAATTGTTTTACAGAAACTGATGCTACATAAGAGCGCACAGCTGAGTACCACGGGGTCTTTAATCCTTTAGTGTAGGAACCAGAAGGACCACAGCAGGTACTTTCTGGGAAAAGCCAAATGGTTTAACAGTGAATACATCAACACAGTACTGCAATATCCAGTACCAAAGGCTGTGGTGTCTCAGAACTGCAATCTATCAGGCATCTCTCTTTCCATTTGAAATTTTATACCTTTACAATATGTTTGCTTTGGCATTTTATGTTAACATGCTCTAGGAGAGCCTGCTTGAGCAGGGAGGTTAGACTAGATGACCTTTGGTGATCTCTTCCAATCTTAATCATTTTTTGATTCTGTGAACTGTAGCAGTCAAACCCTACTCATTTACAGAACCTCTATTTGTTAATTTTCATGCATTTATCCTGAAATTTTGCAATCAAACAAGAAGTTCCATTACATGAAAGACCACAAAAAGAAGCTAATAACAAAATGAAACAGCACATCCCAAAATAGAGATATTATTATGAGCCAGAAACACTATGAAGAAGCTGATTCTTACTAATTCCTTTCCATCATCTTCAGTCTGAAACTAAAATGTTCACCTTACTACCAAGTGAGGCACTCATGTCTTCAGTTACCATTCACAGCTTCCCATGTCTGCCAGCTCCCCCATTTGTGCCTCCAACATTTCAGAGTACAAAACAACAGGCACAGTGTTACAGACACAATAACATCTGCAGCGTGCAGAGAGAGTAAGCAGTAAGTGTCTGAAAACAGAGCATATGCAGTATTAAACATTTCCATGTTCAAACTCCAGGCCATCTCTAACATGTTCTTTCAGCAGCTAGTTGTATGTTGTTGCTATGGTTTCATCATAAAATTTCCATTCTGTGTAAACATGATACATATTTTCTTTCAAAATTGTATTTTGTTAGAAAGTTTTCAGTGTACAAGTTCTATTAATGAGGTGCATGGTTTCAGTAAAAAAAAAAAAAGGAAAAAAATAGTTTTATCTGATAAAATAAAACAAGCAGGAAAATTAAGGATTTCTGTTTTTATCCAAAAGCTGAATGCTTCCCCCACAGAAATGCAAAATCAATAACTGATAAGAAATTATGCCTGAACTTCATACAGTCAACTGCTCCAGGCCTGATTCCCCCACAGATGACATCGTGCATTGCCAGACTTCCACACCACAGCACAATGGAGTACACTCCCGCACCAAGAGGCTGCAGAACATCCCTCATTTATGGTGTCGTTACACAGGGAAAACAGAGGAGAAATACAGGACAACCTAGGGATTTCAGGCTCTCAAGGGAAAATAACTGCATAGAAAGAGAAAAAAACAACAACTTATCTCTTAGACTTATCTCTAAACTTTATCTCCTAATGAAAGAAAGCTTTTCCTTACAGGAATATAAGAACTATCCCAGATTAGGTACTAGCAGACGGACAAAGGATGCTACTCCAAGTTTATGGTGAGGCACACTCCCACCCATTATGTCAGGCACTTGTCTCACAGAGCTCATGTCACTGAAAACTGGAAAACATAATTTCTAGGCATGACACCCTTCAGACAACTCTTCTGGAGTTACAGCCAAGTCCTCTCAAAGTCCCACCCAAGATGGAGCTTTGGCCAGAGAGAGCACTGAGTTCTGCATACTTCTGCTACTTCTTCCCTCTTTTTCAAACCAAGGGCTCCCCCACCACCACCACACCCCAGAGCCAGCCAACACCAGCCAGCAGAACAGCTTAGCCACAGCTCCAGCAACACACAGGGAGACAGAACTGGGCTTTGCGTGAGGCAGATGGTGTCAGCAGTGTGTAATATCTTGGGACAAGGAAAATATTTCCAGAAGGGCGTCTCTTTTTTTCCTTTATTTCATTTTTTCTATCTCACACTCCATTCTTCTGTGTAGAGGCAAGAAACAAATGCCAGACTGGCCACAAGGAGGGTCATAAGCCCTTTTTGGAAAGCAGCAATGAGCAGATGGGGAAGGCAACAAGCCACCTCACAGCCAGGGCTTGCTGATGCCCAAGGAAGATTGAAGCAATGGTGCACAATTCACACCTCAAAGCCCAGCAGCCTTTCATACAGCAGCCATGAGATATCCACGGATAGCTCCTGTAGATGACAAAATCCCTGTCCATAAAAAAAGACAATCTGACACACACACAGTTAAAATATTACATTATGCATATTGTTAAATGCTGAAAGTATAAAATTTTGTTGCCTTGCTTTACACCATGGTTATATATCATGGCCCTGGTAGAACAATCACAGTAATCACATGTATTTTTAACATGGAGAACACAGAATGCGAGCCAGCTCAGATGGGGGTTTTGGCCTGGACCCCTTGGGAATTGTGTGAACACTGAGAAGTCTCAGCCACAGCCCCCAGGGACCTTGCTAGCAGCAACAGCAGAGAACTACAAACCCAGGTGCTCAAATTAAACCTCTGTATTCTGAAGCATAAAAAACATACACCTTGTCCCTATCATTCACCAGCTATTACTTCTGATCATTTGTAATGAAATGCTTTCTTCCACAATTAGCAGTCAGCTCAGAGATATTTCAACTTTCCAAGAAAACCACTTGAGAACAAATGTATCTCAGATCATTATTTATTTTAGAAGCACTAGCTCCACACTTCAAGTAAAGAAAGTATGTCTGTATTGAAGAAGCAGCACTTTAATGTGCTTGAAAATACTATGTAAATTGATTTTATCAATGAAAAGTATTTACACTTGACCATGGAAAAAAACAACACACATGACAAGTGAACAAAACTGCCAAAATTTAAATTGGTCTTTAAACTGATCATCTAAACTATTTATCAAAATGTATTATAGTGGTAAAAATAAGAATCATTTAGCAAAATTAAATTAGCAGTGCATTCTACTATGGGTTGTCATTTTAACTGAAGCTGATTTATGAAACCACTCACATGGTATTTCAAACCAGAAAGACATGGGTTTAGATACAGCCCTTCTAATTTATGGAAATTCTTGCCTCAAATGCATTAAAAAGACTACTGTTAAATTTAAATCCTATCTTCAGCTTTCACATTTGTTTTAAGCTTACTGATACTAGTAATTATCCTGAAGACATTGTATTTAAGATATTATGTGAGAGCTATCGAAGATACTGGATACTTTTGTCTGAAATATAAGTGTTAAAATTCAACAATCTGCTTCTTTAACAGTTTAGGGCTATACCACATTTCGTTAAAATGTTCTGAATAAGGATAAGTAACTGGATGGCAACAGCCTTTAATTCAAAAGGCTGACAGTGGTCCCTGGTAATCCATTGCTCAGTTTCTCTTTTGTCCAAGATGATGTCTGAGAAAGAGCCAAGAATTGGTTAAGGAGATTGATCTCATGTCAGCTATTTAATAGCAATGTCCAAAGGATTTTTCTGTTTGTTTTAAGTCTTTGTTAGTTGCCTAAGTCTACTTAGCAATATGTCTTACCACACTAATGCTATTAGGATTAGTCCTGTATAAAGATCCATACAAGAAGTTCCAGAACAAATCAGGATACACACTATAGTGTCTCTGCTGCAGGTTTCTGTATTGCCTGCCTCAGCTGCACAGCTTGATTAATAAATCAAACCACAACGCAATCTCTTGCTGCTTATGAGGAAACTCCTTCACTTTTGACATTTGAAAACAGGATCAGTAAAGCTTCCAAGAACCCAGGAAAGCACCTGAAAGTTACCTAGATTTTCCAATGACTAAACAGAAATTTTCCTAAATATTTTTTTAGCTGTAAAGTTTTCATCAGCTTTTCCATGCTCTCAATCCAACAAAAGGAAAGAAAAATGTTCTGAGATAGAATGGGATGAAGATTTAGCTTTGTCTCTTCTGTAAAAGGTCAGATTCAAAGACTGAGATAAATTCAAGCATCTACTGGAATTACCTTCCTCATACCTCACTCTGACTTAACCAACATTTACAAATGATTAAGAGATTTGTGTGTGTATTTTATAACTGTAAATGTAAAATTTTATAACTGTTACTGCTCAGTTATAGAATTATAACCCTTGTCAGAGTTACTAGATTTCTATGGAGTTATATCTCCCCTAAAATACCTATTCTGTATTTGTCTGAACCGTTAAAATTGTGATCTTTTTTAACCAGTGAGCAGGTACGAAATACACAAATAAAAAATAAAAAATATTCTCCCAAGCAGAGGGACAGCTCCATCACATCTTTTCATAACAGCAATTGCCATCACCGGCTGTCACATTAGGCTATCAGTCCTCTCCTAACTTTTGTCCAAAATAACTGCTCTTCTAACTTAAGCAAACTCTAAAAGAGAAGGAAGTTTAAAAAAAAAAAAAAAGAAAAAAGAAAATAAACCCCACACTTATTTTCACTTGCAGATTTGCACAAAATAAACCTGTAAAACAACATAATAAAATTAAACCAGTCTTACAAGAATTATAGAAAAACATAAAAATCAGTTAGGCTTTTAAAACTAGCACTTCTGCGCAGTGCATGCAAAAATTGAAAATTGAAATTAAACAATAAATAACGATCTAGCAGTCTGGATGTAACCTAATCTCACAAATGATGGACAGGTAGGGAAGCTCCATCTCAGAGCTGCAAGGGCCCAGTTTGGTAAATATGATCTGAGCCCATGTCAACAAACAGCACAAAAACAGAG